GTGTGTATTCTATGTGGAAAGAGACCAAGGTTAGTGTTGAAATTGTTAGCTAATGCTCATCAGATTGTTATTTCGCGTGGTCATTTAAATTTACGTAAAAAACTATGTTTGGTCATCAAGCATTGTGCTTGTGGAAGTTGCGAGTTCGATTTTCAGACGAGACAAATCTTCGTTTTTTTTGATATCTCAAAGATATATTGTAGCAATATTTAATATTTATAGTAATGATGTATGTATATATTCAGCCTTTTTTAACGTCCCAGTGCTGGGGGTGGGCCTCCCTTCAATACGAGGGGGATCAGGCCATAGTCCACCACGTTGGCCAAGTGTGGGCGTACTGAGCTTGTCTTTCAAAAAGTTGCTAGGTTCTTTCAGACATACAGGTTTCTTCACCATGTTCTCCTTCACGTAAGACAAGTAGTAATCATATTGGAAACGGCAGTGGTAGTCCAGTGGTAAGGTACTTGGGAAACCGAGTGAAGCGGGTTCAATTCCCGGGTCTCACACCTCTAGTATTTTCATATGTGCGAATCATTGGGCATAATTTTAACGACTCATGTAAGTAAGACTTAAATGAGTAGTAATATACCAACTCAGAAAACATCCAAATTTTAAATACATAGGTCCAGAGAAAGGATACTCCACATATTTCTTTGGCTACTATTTAGATTATTTAGCAGTTTTCATGAGACACGGTGTCTCGGACATCTACTTATCAAATTTCAGCAAAGTATCTCATAGTCTGGGTATACAATGACTGTGACATACAGACAGATGGACATGCGAAATTATAAGGGATCCGTTTTAGTCTTTCGGCTAAAACACATACAACCTTTTTGAAATCGGTCAACAACATATTCTAAGTAGCTGAAGTATGTTTATTGAATTAAAGAATTACTATAATTGAATATGAATAACATCACCTTGAGATCGCACACGTCGCCATGTGCTTAATCTATATTAATATTATAAAGAGGTAAAGTTTGTGAGTTTGTGACGTTGTAGGGGGTAATCTTTGGATTTACTGTACCGATTTGGATGAAATTTGGTAGGGAGATAATTTGAGACCCTGGGAAGGACATAGGACACTTTTTAATTCCAAAAAATATCCCTGAAGGAGTGAAAATGGGGATGAAAGTTTGTATGGGGAATCAAGCTAGGGGTGAACCCGAGCGAAGTGAGGGTGAGTCGCTAGTTATACATAAAATAATATAAAAATAGCGTTTAAATAATGAAATTAATAAAAATAAACGGTTAAAGTGATATAATAATAATATCATACACAATATTGTTTCTTTTTGATTTTATTTAGAACTAGCATTGCCCGCGGCTCCGCCCGCGTTCAGATGAACAAAAATCCAATTCTTAGGCTTTACATATTAGTATACTCTTACATTGCAGTTTTTGTGTTTTTTCTCAGAAATGAGATATTTTTCCGCGGTAAAAAGTATCCTATATGTTGATCCGGATAACCAGCTATCATCATAGCAAATTTCATCAAAATCCCTCCAGTGGTTTTTCCGTGACGCGGTAACAGACAGACAGACAGAAAAAACTTCTAAAACTATAGATTCGGCCTCTGTATCGATAATAATGTCTATTTCAATAAGATTTTCCAAAAAATATTCAATGTACAGATTCGGCTTAGTTACAATTTTATTATATGTACAGATGAATGCTATGATTATATATTGTTAGTAACTTGTTAATAAAAAATGTGTAGGTATATATTTATAATTAGAGGCAGTGTTAGCCCAGTGGTAACGCGCTCACTTGGACAACCGAGTGAAACGGATTCAAATCCCGGGTCTCGCACCTCTGATATTTTCATGTGCGAATCATTTTCAACGTGATTACCACTTGTCTTACGGTGAAGGAAAACATCGTGAGGAAACCTGCATGTCTGAGAGAACCTAGCAAGTTTTCGAAAGACATGTGCAGTCCGCCCGTAATTAGCACTTGGCCAGCGTGGTGGACTATGGCATGATCCCCCTCGTAAATAAAGGGAAGCCCGTGCCCAGCAGTGGGGTGTTAAAAATAGCAATGAAAAGAAGCATGCTCGTGGTTTCTATTAAAGATAAATTAAAAAATACTACATATCAGAGAAAAAACAGAGGTTGCTGATATCCTGAATGTAATAGACATGCTAAAATGAAGGTGGGATGGGCACTCACAAAAGGAAAAAATCAAATAAATTGAGTAAAGTTGTAACAAATTGGTATCCCATAGGCGCTAAACGTAATAGAGGTAGATAGACAGCTTAAACGATGGGAGGACAGGACAGGACAGGAGGACAGGATAGGACAGGAGGACAGGACAGAAGAATAGCAAACGACATCGGTTTACAATTTTGTATGAACCTGAATATGAATGAAAATATGGCCACAAAGAAATATCTTTTATAAATATTTTCAAATTGCACTGTTAGATATCGAAGATAACATAGTATTACGTCTCCATCTGGTTACTATGTATCTACTATGTTTATCTATACATATAATAAAATTGTAACTAAGCCGAATCTGTATATTAAATATTTTTTGGTAAATCTTATTGAAATAGACATTATTATCGATACAGAGGCCGAATCTAGTTTTTAGAATTTTTGTCTGTCTGTCTGTTACGCGTCACGGAAAAACCACTGGAGGGATTTTGATGAAATTTGGTATGATGATAGCTGGTTATCCGGGTCAACATATAGGATACTTTTTACTGCGGGAAAATATCTCATCTCTGAATAAAAACTTTTTAACAAAAAAATAAAAACCGACTTCAAACAAAAGCACTAAAAAGTAAAAAATAAGTGATTGGTAGTTTTCATTTACTATACATACCTAATCAAATATTTTCAAAGTCGGTGTGCTTTGGCTAAGTAATAAAAGCCTACCTATTAAATACATACCTAATCAAATATTTTCGAAATCGGTGCCAGTCCATACAAAGCAAAGCACACCGACTTCGAAAATATTTGATTAGGTATGTATAGTAAATGAAAACTACCAATCAGTTACTTTTTACTTTTTAGTGCTTTTGTTTGAAGTCGGTTTTTTTTTTTTAAGTTTTTATTTGAAAACGAAACTCAGTCATGGTTCAGTCATCTCATACAAATTTTTACTACTATTATAAGCACAAACCTTCCTCATTTATCTCATTTTCTATTAGTGAAAACCGTATCAAAAGCCGTTGCCTGGTCAAGAAGGAACTTTTACAATATATACCTATACGATAGCTTAACGAGTTTTCGTTTAAAGGTTTAGTATAAATTTCTCAGAGATGAGATATATTCCCACAGAAAAAAGTATCCTATATGTTGACCCGGATAACCAGCTATCATCATACCAAATTTCATCAAAATCTGTCCAGTGGTTTTCTCGTGATGCGGTAACAGACAGACAGACAAAAATTCTAAAAACTATGGATTTGCCATCTATATCGATACTAATGACTATTTCAATACGATTTTCCAAAAAATATTCGAATTAGAATTTTATTATATGTATAGATAAAATTAGACTACGCGAGCAAAGCCGCGGGTAAACGCCAGTACTTAGTCTATATATATTATTGTGTCGGCTTCTCTTTGTATGTAAAATTTTGATAATAAGTCCACTAGTTCTATATTAAGTAAAAAATCAACAAGCTACAAAGAAACTTAAGAGTGATCAAATAAATTTATTATTACATCGTATATATATTAATAATCTTATGAGGATAAAATTAAAAAATTTGTACATTTCCAAAAGGCACTGAATAAATTATTATTAAACAAAGCAATTGTATCATTTGTTTGATTTTAAAAGGTTTTTTAAATAAAATCTGTTGATTATATTATCATCGATTTCTACTAAGCATAACCACTTGCATTTTTATTTGGTTCGATTCCCGGTTCAGGTTAGGTATTTTTTTTTAAATTTAAATGCAGTTGTTATTATTTTTTTAAATAAAGAAATGTTTCCTTTGAATAAATCTTGATAACTTCAATATTAAAGGCACTTTTCTTCCATGTCCCAACGATTTGTTCCAGCCTTTATACATATGCCAAATTTTATAGGTATATTATATATGGAACTAGCATGGCCCGCGGCTCCGCCCGCGTTCAGATGACCAAAAACCAAATTCTTAGGTTTTACATATTAGTATACTCTTACATTGCAGTTTTTGTATTTTTTCTCAGAAATGAGACATTTTCCCGCGGTAATCAGTATCCTATATGTAGACCCGAATAACCAGCTATCATCGTACCAAATTTTATCAAAATCTGTTCAGTGATTTTCTCGTGATGCGGTAACAGACAGACAGACAGACAAAAATTCTAAAAACTGTAGATTCGGCCTCTGTATCGATAATAATGACTATTTCAATCAGATTTTCCAAAAAATATTTAATGTACAGATTCGACTGAGTTCCAATTTTATTATATATATATAGATTATTACAAAAACTTTTTCATCACAGACCTGTGTTATTATTAAACATAGCAATTGTGTCATTTGTTTGATTTTAAAAGGTTTCCAAACGAAAATCCATAGATTACATTATCATCGATTTCTCCTAAGCATTCAACCAACAACCACATCACAGATTACACACGAGCACAATAAAACAAAAAAATCTTTTTAAATAAATATAATTACAAAAAAAACAACAATGTCCACTTCGATAATTTACACAAACATTAAGCAAAGCTTAGCTTATATACTTTGAATCCGTCAATAAACACTGGGTGTGCCTCAGGGTGCGATTCTTAGTTTTGAAATCCGATTCCATGAAATTACAACACGATGTCCTTACTGAGTAGATTCACCAACATCAAAACATTTGAGATACATTTACGAACTAACATTACAAATTGCCAATTGTGTTTCCTTCAAAGTACGCTTTTATTGGCAGTGTGCTCTTGTTACAAGAATCTGAGCTCCGTTCCACGTTTAAACTTGACACAACAACATACAAATCATTCCACGTTTAAACTTGACACAACAACATACAAATCAATGTTATAAGATAGGCACTTTTAGTTTTATATCATTTGAAACGCTTTGCATATTTACTGTAGATCTATTGTGACGCATATGTGATGTTACCAAATCCGAATTAACTAACGCTGCCATTAAGCTTAACTCTCCGGCTAAGACCGTCGCGCAGATTAAAGAGGCCAATCTGGCTGAATTTTCTGCAGGTCTTGCGCCTGCTCCTCTAACACCTAGAATTTCAAGACAGGCACCCTGCCCAATAAGTACTGTGCCGCCACCAACTGTGCCAACTTCTAAGGAAGGCATGGTACAAGTCACATAGAGGTCGTCTCTGTTCTCCCCACACACCTCCATACTCGTTGAGCAGTTACTACTAGTCACATTTTGTGCTGGGTCTTGTCCTGTGGCTATGAAAATAGCTGTCACCATATTCGCCGCATGAGCATTATTTCCTCCAATAGATCCTGCTAACGCTGAACCCGACAAGTTTTTAATTTTATTACACCGAGACATTGTTTTGGCATCGGTCTTTAATATATTCCTTAAGTTCTCACCGGAGATTGTTGTTTCACATACTACTCTTTTACCCCTGCCTTTGACCCAATTAATGGAGGCTGCTTTTTTATCGGAGCAGTAATTTCCAGAAAGACTGATTACTTCCATATCAGGGAAGAAGTTTTTAAGTAACTTTAGTGCGTTTTCAGCTCCCTTGGATACCATGTTCATACCCATAGCATCTCCTGTGGTGGCTCTGAATCTTAGATATAATGTTGCTCCATCGACCCCTACGTGTACTTCCTGAAGTCGAGCAAATCTCGAAGTCGAGTCAAATGCTTCTTTGATTATTGCATAGTTGTCTTTGTTATCCAACCATTGACGACATTGATGTGCTCGGACAACGTTAGGTAACTTGACTGCAGGGGCTCGAGTCATTCCTACATCTTCCACTACGCTAGTCACTCCTCTCGTGCCAATGGCTTTGGCACCCCTGTTAGTAGATGCTACTAGTGCTCCTTCTGTAGTTGCCATGGGGATCATATAAGGTTTACCATCGACAACCAGAGGTCCGGCGTATCCGACCGGTATACCAACATAACCAATAACATTTTCGCAGCAAGCGTTAAGAACTTTGCTATAATCGTAATTTAGATAAGGCAATTGTTTTATAGCCACTTCTGTTTGAAATCTTGACCCAATAATTCTCCTGCGCAATCTGACGCCCCGTAATGGATCATTAAGCACATTTTCAAGCCTATGTAAAGGTATATGCGATTGTTCAACCAGCATAACTATTTCTTCATCGCTGAGCGCAGTACCCACTCCCTCCGATCGATAAATTTCTAAGCATTCTGCCATTGGACGCTTTTTAGCGTTTAATCGTGCAGCCGATGAGCTTGGTGACAATAATGACCACTCTTCACTACTAACTAAGTCATCAGTCTGTGTAAACATTTCACTTTTTTCTTCCTCACCGAGACAAAATGTTGGCTTGTTTTGGCTACTTTTAACTACTTCTTTTACAGTCATATCGTTCATATCTATGATCCAATTTCTTTGTTCTTCAAAAAAGATAAACTTGATAATTAAAGCACACAGTAACGTGGCGATAACGATGTAATCTGCGCTTACGGAGAACCATTTTACATATGAGTGAAACAAGACATTCTCATGTGATCCAGATTTGAAATCACTGGTTAAAGACCCTTCCATCATTCCACTTTCTCTAGTCCAAGACCATCTGCTGGTCAGATGAACACATAACAACCCAGCAGCCATTATCATTTTTACTCTTTGAACGACTGGATTTGGTTTTAGGTCGGCTTCAGAAAAAGGACTGTCCGGCGATATTTCCTTCCTTCCCGATGCAAAATCGGCAACAAGCGACAAACAAGCCGGATAAAACGTGACAAATACTAGGTAATCCACTAATAATGCTAAACAGGCGAAACTGCACATATGCTCCAATCTAGGAACACCTGATAAACCCCCCACACCGACGAGGAGGACCGCTAGAAGTGTATCTAACGTCGCTGTCGGTCCAAGTAACGAAAGTGCCTTCCCCACTCGCTTCCCCTGATCTTCGCCTGCACTCCAACCGGCTTTAGCCATTCTCGCGCCCCTCGCTACATCAGCGACGAGTAAAAATAAGAATGGAGCATCTTTTATGCTTGCTAACTCGTTCCAGAACAGGCTGGCCAGAGCCGAGGTGAAGATAAAACTGGCGAACGTTGAGAACAACCCCGCTATGATGAGGAGGTACTTTGACGCAATCTTTTGGAGATTAGACACTTGGTAATACGCGTAAAGGAGTGCAGCGCATCGCACGAAAGTCATAATCACTGCGTCGGCTGCTTGGTATTCTGCTTCGAGTCCAGGACAGGCTCGAGCCCAACCTGCACATTTATCTGAACGGATACCAGTGCCATGTCTCTCCACGCTGGCAGCACATGCCAGTAAAGCCAAGGTGGCCACGATAACCTCCCATTGATGCCTGGCACAAAATTCGCCATGAGCTCCCCACACCTTCATGATGGATTTGCTTATTTGCAGCTAGTATCTGTGAACAAAGACATTTAATTTTTATATTTTTCCTAGTAGTGTTAAACTAAAGATATAACAACTAAAAAATTTAGATTTTTATTGGATCTCCTGATTCAAATACGATAGATCATATCTACTGGGAAAACAACTGAAATCCCACAATAGTTAACATACACGACCTTACATATGCATTTACAGAAATATAATCAGAATCCATGAAGATTCATTGACGATTTTATTAGAGGCATGCATTCACTGGAGCATGCTCTTATTACAGCAAGAGGTAACACTAAATACAGATCCTGATTTTCGCTTTTCGCATAGAAAAATTAAAAAAAAACACAGTCGGAAGGAAGAAAACTGAATCTATCCTTTAAAATACAAAATTACAGCATTAGTCTTCTACAATATTATTGTTTATTCTATAGTGAAATATTCATATTCCAAGGTAAGATTACCAACATAACGAACTTTAAACATTGTTTTCTACATATAGGATGGAAAAAACGATCCAGATATGGAAAAAAAGTACCTTAAATATCTATATTAATAGCTAGTTGGTTCGATTACCGACACACTGACACAGGTATTTTATGCAGTTAGCCCAATTGTTAAAAATTAAAGAATATTTCCTTTCAGTGAAACTTGATATCTATTTTTGCGGTACTCTTATTCCATATGTGCCATCCATTTGTTCTACTTTGTATGTTTTTTTATTGTTTCTTTAGCGTTCTTCTCATACAATATGTGAGTATATTATGTACTTATATGAAATTATATACGGTACTTATAGAAAAACACAATTTTTAAAATATTTCTCTGTGTGTCTGGCCTTTTATTCCGGCTAATCTCCGAAACGGCTAGACCGAATTGGACGGGACTTTCACTGGCAGATAGCTGATGTTATAAGGAATAACTTAGACTGAATTTATTTTAAAAAAAGAGTCATGGTTCCGCGCAAACAAAAACTAAAATCCATGAAATTGTGACGCAGGCACTCGAGGGAAGCGAGAGTAAGTCACTAGTATAAAATATAGTTTTAAGCAACTTTAAACTTTTTTTAAACTCTACATGAAGTGTGAGAGATAACAATTTGTCATTCACTTAAAGAATTGGAACATCATGAATTTCAGGGAACGAAATGTAAATATTACTCACGTTATTTTAAATCTGCTTTGGATGTATTTTCATAACATGCCAACGTAAAAAAGATAAACTATGTCAGTTTGTTTGCAGGAAGTAATCTGAGGCTAATGATTGAATTCTGGGAAATGTTTCGATAAGAAGCTACTTTACGTTTGGCTCAGTTTGTAGTGATCCTACATGCAGTGCCAGCTGCGGTACCAGATGCGGTAACAGACACAGACAGACAAAAATTCTAAAAAGTATAAATTCGGCCTCTGTCTGTGTGTATTATCGATATAATAATGTCTATTTTAATAAGATTTTCCAAAAAATATTTAATGAACAGATTCGACTTAGTTACAATTTTATTATATGTATAAATATGTATGTATTTAAAGTAGTGCATCAACTACCTAGTATCTATCACACAAGCCTCGTAATTTTATCTCTTCCATCGGTGCATATATAACAGCCATTTTACTCGACATCTCTCGGATCTACATTTTGTTAGCAGGTGCATCATGTGAATGAATGATCAATAAGATAATTCTGCAGTCAAATCACGATATAAAAAAATAGGGGTGGCAATTTGGTACGGTTGGTATGCTTTTTTGGTTTCGTGGTAATGTATATGTATCTAGTATATTTAAACGAGCAATTCTTGTGTGTGTGTGTGTATATATATATACACAGATGTGTGTATATATATATAATCTGAATCTCGGAAACGGCTCTAACGATTTTCATGAAATTTAGTACACAGGGGGTTTCGGGGGCGATAAATCGATCTAGATTAGTCTTATATATTCATAGGTGTCCGGGTTCGAATCCCAGTCGGATATAAAGTTTTTACTTTTGTTTGTTTTTTAATATTTGTCTAAGTTTCTATTTTAGTTTTTTATAAAAAAAAGAAAATTGTACTTTAGGCCAAAAACTTCGAGCGAAGTTCGGTAGCCCAGATACTGTATATAAATACGAAAAAATGACGTATTGTAGTCATCCCTTTTTTCCGTCCCATTGCCGGGCATGGATCTCCCATCAATACGAGATCACGCCACGGAATAGTCCACCACGTCACCTACATATATCATTCAAAAACTTGCTGAGCTCTCTCAGACGTGCAAGTTTCCTTACGATGTTATCCTTCACCGTAGGATGAAGTAATTCAAGACAAAGTGAAAATTAATGTCTTATAATCTTATCTAAATGGTGACTTCATTTTTGTTTACTTACGTCACATACAAATAAGGTTTGGTCAAAGAATATAAAAAACCCCAATAAAATTCAGACAATAAAATAATTTACTAGCATAATTATAATATATGTACCTATATATTTTTTAATTTTATATAAAACTAGTATTGACCGCGGCTCCGCCCGCGTTCAGATGACCAAAAACCAATATCTTAGGTTTTACATATTAGTATACTCTTACAATGCAGTTTTTGTATTTTTTTTCAGAAATGAGATATTTTCCCGAAGTAAAAAGTTGTCCTATATGTTGACTCGGATAACCAGCTATCATCATACCAAATTTCATCAATATCTGTCCAGTGGTTTTCGCGTGATGCGGTAACAGACTGACAAACAAAAATTCTAAAAACTATAGATTCAAACTCTGAATCGATAATAATGTCTATTTCATTTAAATTTCCCAAAAAATATTTAATATAAAGATTAGACTTAGTTACAATTTTATTATATGTATAGATAAAGAAGGCAGTGGTAGCCGACGGCAGTGGTAGCCCAGTACGCGCTCGCTTGGGAAACCGAGTGAAGCGGGTTCGAATCCGAGTTCAAATTGGCGTGATTTTTTGTGTGAACTGTGTGGGTTGATTAAAAATCAAACCGCGGGAGAAACACGTTATAATACAACTCACAACTACTAATCATACCTATGTATATACGTATATAATATATATTCTATCTATTCCATACTATGTTATGTGACATTTGTATGTTTTCTTACGTATATGTCTAGCTGTATCACCTAACATGTGGCCGAAGTCAGACTGAGTCGTTAGTTTCGAAATCATAATTTATAAGTTAACAAAAAAAAAAATTAAAAAACCTTTTATGGCATATAATGCACGATTATTATACCTATGGGGATCATTTTTATATTTAACTGCAGCCATAAACGTGAGTTCGTGAAAGAATTATTAATTTTATAATTGTTGCCACTGTCATAAAATGTGAAAATAAAATGTAGGGTTCAAAAGTGTAATGACAAAATAAAAAACAGCGATTCAATTCAATTCTCTCGATAATGTCTTCAAAGCGTGCCAGTTGAGCACTGATTACTTCGACAATGTTATGTACAATGGAGAAGACACGGAGGAAATAAGATCATAAACTACATATATTAAACTAGCAACTCTCTAGCTTGCTTCCCCATACAAACTTCCATCCCCATTCTCACCCCCTTAAGGGTGACTTCCGGGGTAAAAACTATTTCACTCACTTTTCATATCATGAGATTTAAAAAAAACTTATTTTTGTGACCGCATCACGAGAAAACCACTGGACAGATTTTGATGAAATTTGGTATGATGATAGCTGGTTATCCGGGTCAACCAACATATAGGATACTGCGGGAAAATATTCATATATCAAATATTCTCGTGAACTAAAAAAAAATTATAATAATATCGATTTGGAAAAAAATCATTCACGTCGTGTGTTAGTATCATGATATACGAGTACTAACACTATATGGAATTTAGGTAGGGCTTGTACGTTAAATATTTCGAAATACGTTCGTTAATTAAATAAGCGATACGTCGTATTTTTACAGGCAGTGGTAGCCCAGTGGTAACGCGCTCGCTTGGGAAACCGAGTGACGCGGGTTCGAATCTCCGGTCTCGCACCTCTGATATGTTCATGTGCGTATCATTTCTAACATGATTACCACGTGTCTTACGGTAAAGGAAAACATCGTTAGGAAACCTGCATCTCTCAGAGAACCTAGCAAGTTTTCGAAAGACATGTGAAGTCCACCAACTCGCACTTGGCCAGCGTGCTGGACTATAGCCTGATCACCCTAGTATTGAAGGGAGGCCCACCCCCAGCAGGGGGACGTTTAAAAAAAGGGCTGAATACATACACATACATCGTATTTTTAACCGACTTCCAAAAAGGAGGAGATTCTCAGTTCATCGGGAAAAAAAATCCCCCACTTTGTATAGAATGATAGAATATGGAACGTCCGCGTGTTTGCTTAACCGATTAAAACCAAACTTTCAGATCTAAATGTGACTGTGATACGTCCAACATAAAATTTGTCTCTCATTTAACGCGATGCATGCGATTGGAACATTAATTATTATTCTGCTACGTTGCCGCGTGAAAAAAGGACAAATTCACTTTCATATAATAATACTACTATTTCAAATACAAATGTTTGTAATATCAGGATAAACCGTTGATTGAGGAAGGCTATAATAGGCTATATATCATCATGCTACTACCCAAAAGAGCGGAGCAGCAATCATAAATGTCAACCAATCGGGCAGACTACCATACATTATTTTAAAACTGATGTTTATAATCAAACAAATTTTGACGCGGGTGAAACCGCGGGGCATAGCTAGTGTCTAATAATGCACTACTTGATTGTAGTACCTACTCATCATAACCTACAAAAAAATTCCGCAAGGCTATATCTGTAACTATTATAGAAGTCACAATAACAGCTTTTTGTTCAAATTATTCAATCAAAACACGGTCAGAATTGAAAGATGATGACATAAGTAACATGTTCATACTTATCCAACCAAATGTATAATAATAAATGGAGAGCCGATTTTTTTGTTCGGTTATACTGCGATAATTATTGAACCGATCGGAATAATACTCATACCATAAGATGCAGCGTGTTTCGGAGAAGGT